AAAGGGCTCCCTTAAAGGGGATCTATGGGGTTCTTTTGGGTTTAGGGTTTAAGGTTTATAGGGTTTAGGGTTTAGGGCTAAACCCTAAACCCTAAATCCGAAACCCTAAACCCGTTAAAGGGCTCCCTTATTGGATCTGTAGGGTTCTACAAGGAGTTAGGGTCATTGAAGGGTTTAGGGGTTTAGGCTGTATTTTTTTGGGCCTATAGGGTTTAAGGTTCACGGTTTTAGGGCTTTGGGTCTAGGGGTTTAGGCTTTTTGGGCTTTTGGTGTAGGGTTTGGGGGGTAGGGTTAAGAACTTAGGGGTTTAGGGTTTAGGAGTTAGGGGTTTAGGGTTCAGGGTTGGAGCTTTAAAACCTCCTTTCAGGGTGTCTTTCATTCAAGTGCTCATGTTCATCAAGGTTCAAGGTTTCAGGTGTAGGGTTTAAGGTCTAGTCAGTTCCTTAGAGGACTCCTATGTCTACAACGGCAACGGCTTGAGGGCCTGAGGCGGCCCGAGTGTTTAAGTTTAGGGTTTACGGTCGCGTGTAGGGGGCTTGAAGCTTAGGATTTGCCATTCTGGGCTTGGGCTAGGATTTAGGAGGGTTTAGCGCTGAGGGTTTAGGTTTAGCACAGCATGATTTCGGGTTTACCGGAGCCAGGCAAAGCTTATCCTTGTCAGCAACTACATCGAAAGAAGGAACCGCGCAATTTTAGGATTTATGAGGTTCAAGCACGGTCTAGCGTATGGTTTGGCCTGCAGGGTTGGGTGCGTGGGGCTTAATAGCCAAGGACTGCTGTGATTTCAATAGGGTTATGGGATCCATTGTGCTAAACCCTGAGGAATGCTGCTGGCAACGTATTACGCCCTAAAGCTAGGCAGTTTCCCTATGACCCTAATTAAGGACTCATATTTTAAGACTCTTGGGCCCAAAGACCATACTATATAAAGCTTTTGGGCTATTTTGAGCCTTAATGTTTAGGTTTTGCGATTCAGGAAGAAACGTCAAGTCGAACCGGGATTTCTGCAGCGCATAGGTGGGACCCCTCGCGAGCGGGCCTGGAAAGCCTAGCTGCTGATACCCAAACCTGAAAGCCGTAATCCCTAAACCCTAATCCCCCTAAGCCCTAATCCCTAAACATCCCTAAACCCTAAACACTAATCCCCAATCCCCAATCCCCCCTAAACCCTAATCCCTAAACCCTAAAACCTAATCCCCCTTATAATCCCTAAACCCTAGACCCTAATCCCTCACCCTAAACCCTCATCTCAAGCCCTGAGTATCCTCTTCATAGCAAGGGGTCTCTCATTCGGCTTCAACGAGGAGACCCCCCAAAAAATTCAAAGGGCAAAGGGTCCTCCCTAAACCCTAAACCCTAAACCCTAAACCCTAAACCCTAAACTCCTACTGGGGGCCGAGCTGCGCTCGAAATCCCAAACCTTTGATCCTGACAATTCCAAACAAACCCAAACCCTCGGGGGTCGCTGGCTTTGGCTCTCAAAGTGGGGTGTCCTGAGGCTTCTTGGCAGTTAAATACTGTTGATGATGATATAAATCCTGCTTGTGTCCATAATAAGGAAATACCATAATTCCCATAGTTTGGGGTCCTTAGGGTAATGCAGGATTTATATCATCAACAGTAGTTCTCACATGTGGTTAAGGGCTTGAAAGGCGTAGGTTGTTTGGGATGGCCTCGGGGCCTGCCTGGTTTGGGTAGGGCGTTGGGGACATATGTCCGTATAGTCAACCATTACACGGGGACTGTAATTGGAAAATATCACAATCTGACTCCGATATTGCTCAGCGCATCCGCTCAAGAACACAGCAATTGCTCCTTCACAGTCGTACCTGGGCGGGAGGTACGCTCAAAGCCAAACATAGCATTCGGCTTTGGTTACTGCTTGCTTGCAATCCTTTAGACTACTTTTAGACTAACATTAACTTACTGCATCGACACGCGGCAAATGCAAAACAAACAACGGGTATAAGTTGTGGTCTTGACAGTCTTTCCGCTTCGAATGCTGCTGCGACAAGTAGTTACAGTTCATCTTGGCCTTCATGCTGCACTTACGGCCTTAATCGTTAGAGTAAGGTTTGGGGGTATATTACACTATAGTTATAATGATCGAGGAGCTCCCCAAATAGAATAATACTATAGGTAGTTGTTAAGGCCGCTATATTACATTTCAGTCCAGTTGCTGTCACCTGCGGGATCAGCATGGCCCCAAGTCACCACAGATCCATCCGTGCGTATCGCAGCAAAAGCTCTTTGAAAGCCCCTGATGCACTGAACGTCGTGCAGCAGATGTTGCACCTCACAGCTGTTACCGCCACCGTGGACGTCGCCCCAAGTCACGACAGATCCTCCACGTAAAATGGCAGCAAAGCTGAAGCAGGCGGAGGCGATGTGCTCAACATGCTTCAACTTGTCTTGTACATCTCGGCAGTCGCCTCCTGTAGTGCGGCCGCCCCACGCCACAACACTTCCATCGGACAAGACGGCGGCGAATGCGTGCCGGCATGCTTGAACCTGCTGCACGTTCGCCAGCTTGTCTTGCACAGAGGTGCTATCCCCACCAAAATCAGGTTGACCCCAGGTTACAACGAAACCACTGCCGAGGATCGCAGCAAACGCGCCGTCAGTCGCCTGCACACTGTGCACGTTCTTGAGCTTGCATTGCACAGCGCTGCTGTCTCCACCAGAAGAGCTATCGCCCCAGGTTACAACTGACCCATCACATAGGATTGCAGCAAAGGCATGACGGGAAGATTGGATCTGGCACACGTCTTTCAGTTGGTCGCCATGGTTGCCGCCATTTCCTGCATCACCCCAGGTTAGAACGGAGCCATCCGCGAGAAGTGCGGCAAAGGCGCTTTCAGTAGATTGAATCTGCTGAACGGAATTCAGCTGACCGGAGGGCACCCCATGTATTCCTTGCACGAGCCGCGATGGATCCTCCACGGCACTACTGTTGCCCCCAAAGTAGACATCCCCCCAGGTCACCACGGATCCATCACTCCGGATTGCAGCAAAAGCTGCCTTGGACGCCTGGATATGTCGCACGTCCTTCAGCTGATCTTGCACGTGGGTGCTGTCGCCGCCAAAGTAGGAAGCACCCCAGGTCACAACAGATCCATCTGCGAGGATTGCAGCGAAAGCTCCATACGAAGCCTGGATCTGCTGTACATTCTTGAGCTGATCCTGCACTGCGACGCTATCGCCTCCATGAGAACTACTTCCCCAAGTCACGACCGATCGATCACTCAGAATGGCAGCGAACGCAAACTCTGTAGTCTGAATCTGCCACACATTTCTGAGCTGATCTTGCACGGCGCTACTGTCACCAAACTGCATGCCCCAGGTCACAACACGTCCATCGCCCAGAATCGTAGCAGCTGCCTTGCTAGAGGACGTAACTTGCACTAAACCTATCTGCAAGGTCAGCAGGTCCCCACAACACAGTCCGCAGTCGTTGATCGTCGATGTTCCGTCCAGAACCTCTCCCGCCGAATTCGACAACCTTCCTCTCCCCACCCCAAGAGCCGTCTGCGCTTGCTGCTTCAAGGACTCCACGGTTGCATCCAACTCTGTCTCTACGGCCACGGTCCTGCCGCTGATGAGTCCCACCTCGATGGTTATCGAAGACATGGGGCACCCTTTCACACGAACCTCCCTTCACGATTAGACTATAAGGAGCCCCAAGGAAGAGTGGCTTTCAAGTTTAGGGCTCAGGGTCTAAATCCTGCACCATACAGGCAATGTAGATGCCCTATAATGGATCACAATCTTCTGAAGCCGTCAGACCGTAGCAAATCCCAGAACCAATCCGTCAACCCTAAACCGTAGCAAATTCCTAAACCGTAAACCCCAAACCCAAAATCCAAACTCTTCAAGCCTGAGCCGAAAACCGGAAGCACTGCAAGCCGAGCCCTAAATCCTTGCGCCCTTGAGCCCGTCTGTTCTAAACCCAACATTCCCGAAATTCCCTGAACCCACTAACATGTACTCAATTTTACTCAAGCCAGACACCCCAGAAATTCCGGGTTTGGCCTGGCACACGAACTTTGAACTTGGATGTTGGGTTTAGGCTTGGTTTCAGGTCCAGAGGTTTGTCTTCAGTGTTTCGGGTTTAGGGTTCAGGGTTTTAGGTTTAGGGTTTAGGGTTTTAGGTTTAGGGTTTTAGGTTTAGGGTTTAAGGTTTTAGGTTTAGGGTTTAGGGTTTTAGGCTTAGGGTTTATAAGCTCCAAGTTGAGCTGGACCCAGTTTCACCCAGCTCCTCGTCGTTACGATCTTCCCCTCGGTCCTTGCTCCTGTCAGCAAGTGAACTTCGGATAGGACAGGGTGAACGCTAAACCCTAAACCCTAAACCCTAAAACCCTAAACCCTAAGCTTCGGGTTCGGGGTTTACGGCGCCTAGTTTTTTATAGGGTTCTGGGGATTTGGGCTCGGGCTCTTTGCAGGGAGGAAAGGAAAAACTACACAAGCATGGAGTGCTACACCTGGAGGCCGTAATAGAGCGTCATGTCATGCGTACTTCGTGGGCAGCACCGATAGAGTCACTACGGAGCTAGAAAGACGGACAACGTATAGTATCGTCGTGGGTTCTTGGCTGCTGTATTCTGATGCTCCAGTCCGGCATGAATGAGGCGCTTGAACTTCTAGGATTCTAGGACCATCTCTAATCCGCGACCACCCTCCCGAAACATTCCAAACCGGACGCCGCAACTTGCTTCAACTTCGGAAAGCCATCCCTCTGAACGTGGTTGTGTTGTTTTTCTTCGTCTGACAGCGCGGATCAAGGATGGTCATTAGGGTTGTTCCGGGCTCGGAGTTTTGCTGCAGGGCTGAAATACTGGAACAGGTTCGCGGTATACAGGCATTGTAATTAAGGGGGGTAACTGCACCCCGAAGAATACCCTTGAACCCTAAACCCTAAACTCATACTTCTATGTCAGCAAGAGCTCCGGGAGAGCCGTGAAACTCCTGAGCTTTCAGCATTTGGGTTTATTTTTACCTGCAAATCCAAAAACCTACCGTTTTAAGGGTTAGACCCTCTAATTAAGGAGTCATAACCTACTATTCTGTAGGGTTTGGGGATACAGGTAGGCCTGAGTTTCGGGCTGAAGGTCTGAACCCCTGAAGCTCTCTATCCGGGCGCCACCTTCAGAAAGCAAAGCTTGAACAAACTCCTCAGCTACGTGCACTTCACTGCGAGGACATCGCAAGTTTTTAGGATGTTGGGATGCCCTAAACCCAATATAATAAACTCAAGGAATAGGCCGCCCACAGTTTGGGTGGGCGGCGCTGAAGCCCCTCGCAACCGATCGCGAAAAGCGGACTACTACGCCAGCCCGCCTTTCCACAGCCATGGGGAATGTAGCACCCCGGGACCAGTACGGGTCCCTTACTAAATTTAAAGTCAGTACCCTATCCTGCCCTGCCCTGTCCTGCCCTGCCCTAAAAACAACAAAGCGCGATGGCATGAGTTTTAACCCTAACAGGAATAGGTTTCGGTGGCTTGGCCGGCTTAGGCGGCATGGGGTGGGAAAGAACAAAAGAGAAAACCCTCTCTAGACCCTAAGCCCTACCTTAAAAACCCAAAACCCACTTTTTTGTAGGTTCTTACTATAAACCCTGATATGGGATTTACAGGTACCCTACAAAAAAGTAGGTTTTGGGTTCTTAAGGTAAACACTAAACCCTCTCTAGACAGGCATTCGCAGCTCGTCACCATGGTAAGATGCACTTGACACAACCTTGTCGCAAGACACCGTCGCCTAAGCGCAATTCCACGGCAAAGTCTAGACCCTAACACTTCCTAAACCCTAAACCCTAAACCTTTGTGTAGGGCAGCTTCGGTACTACTAACTACTGCTACTACTACTACTA